AAAAGTACTTGTGTTTGTTCAAATGGGATGGAAATGTTTGTGATAACCAACAAAGAGCACTGGACAGCTGTTTCGTCCTGTTTGGGAATCATCAGCTGTCCCTGTGTCCCTGTCAGGACTCGAACCGCGATCAGTCGGATCGGAACTTCAAACCCTTACCCCCTAGCTACACGGCCGACGGTCATCAACTTGTGCAAATGGCTCAATAAAATTAGAGTATCAAGCTTGGATTAGCCCTAGGTCCTGATAGGGACACAAAAAGTACACACTGCTGATGATTCCCAAACAGGACGAAACAGCTGTCCAGTGCTCTTTGTTGGTTATCACAAACATTTCCATCCCATTTGAACAAACACAAGTACTTTTGAGTGAGTTCTTTGTATTGTTGGGTCGTGTGTCCGTTGTGATTAGCGAGCTTGTCTTCGTCTCGCTCGGTACCTTACTCAAAAAGTACTTTTCTTTGTTTTCGGAAAAGTGAGTTCATTCGGGCTGGATAGGGGTATAGGTAGACCCGGTCCAATCGCTAACGTTTGACGGCCGAAACACCAATCATCTTATGGGGTTCCAATGGGATGCGATTGTTTGGATCCTCTTGAAGTTACAACGGATTCACTTGAAGTTGAAAAGGTGTAGATAGGTAATAAAAACTCATACAAAAACAGGTGTACTTTGCAGAAACCAATTATATTACAACAATTTAACAATTTACTAGCTAACTGTGAATCCCCGGTGATTATTAACTGCCTGTATGTCATCGGTCATTATGTCTAATAGGTAAAATGAAATGCGGTTTTAACAGAATACCTATCTGATAATAAAGAGGTTTTCAACGAAAATTTAAAAATCTTTTATCATGTGCGAGGACAATGAATCTCCAAGATCACAGTGTGTAATCGCTGGGATGCGTGGATTTGCTTAAAGAATATCGGAAAATTGTTCCTGATCTGGTATCGCTTGTGTTTGCTATCCACATTGCAATCAGGTTTTACAAAATCGACTGAAGTAAATGTTAAGGGCGTTTATGAATCGCAACCTATGAATTACCAAAATCCATTTTTAGGTGTTTTCAGCAGATGGTGTCTTTGAAATCGGTCGAATTACTAGAAAATCAAGCCACGTTGTACAAGAGTTAATCACAAATGCGGACACGTTCGTCGCCACATTTCCTATCGATTTGGAGGTTCGGCTGAAAGCTGTATTACTCTGTTCGGTCTTTTTGCTTGTGAGTTTCATTTAATTATACTTTCTTTTTTGGCTTGGGTTTCATATTCGAAGTTTGGATGTGGCGAACAGCTTATCCTTTGCGCTGCGCTTCCATAGTTTCATGACTCCATCCTTCCAGCCGCGATCAAAAAGCAATGTGATCTTGGTGAACGCAGGTTTGGCGAGCCGTACATCAACGCTTTTCATACGTGATGGCAACTGAGAGTTTGAGTGAGACATCTCTCACCTAATAGATCCCAACTTCCGAACTCAATTGATTCCGCAACATAAAGTAGATCCTAAGTCTAACACATGCTAATAATTTGATTGAGGTGTTATGCAGTTAAATTGGAGTTACCAGGAATTATTTAAACTTGATTCAATGGTGGAAGCAGTAGTCCGGGTGGATTCTCATCTTTGTTTGAACAGCTTTCCGGTAAGCTTACAATGATGACAGTTCCTTTTGTTCTTATTGACGAACATCAATTTGTTTGTGTTTAAAACATTTCAAGTTTATATAACAAAGATTTCATTTAGGAAATAATGGTCGTCAAACCAAGGGAAGCTATGCTTCACGTGTGAATTAGTGAGATGACCAACCATGTCCATGTGATATGTTGGCAGATGAGTTGAGAAAGCGTGAAAAAGGGCATAAAAGACAAAGTGACAGACATTCCATGATGTAACAAATAACAGAACAATGCTGTTTTGCTTTTGTTATGTTTTATTCTTAGTATTGGTATTTTAAATCTTTGTGCTCACTAGAAACACCATGGATGTCTGATTAATGTATATTACTGTTTGATAGTATATCGTTATTAAACAAACCCAGTTACATTCCCTTTTTCTCTTCGTGCCGTGTTCCTTAAGTGTCGAAGTTACCAACATATTCTTTTGCCTATTTATCCCATTCTGGGGTTCGGATCGTTCACAAAGGTCTTCTAAGCTTGAGCACCCTTTTCATGGGCATTCATCCTCGCACCACATCCGAACTGTTACGCACGGAAGTACGCTGGTCTAAAGCTTGAAGTCGGTTTAGCTCGTTCGATGAACTGAGTTCTCGCTTATTCACGCTCCGTTTTTGTACTAGCCGCCACACTCCCATCATTTTAGTGAACACTGCTCATAACATCGGTTTGCAAACTTTCGCTCAGATCAACGTTCATCTGTTCAAGTTTGTTGGCCACCATTGAAATGCCAATTTAGATGGCAGCAGAGCGTATTTTTCTGACATTCGGGTTTAGTGGGTATAACCGTGAGCTGATTTCTTACACTGAGTGCGTTAATCGCAATTTTTTATTTAAGAGCATGTGTACAAATTAGATGTCCAATCGAACCATGATCGCATTTTTTTCAGCAAACAAAACGAAAGGAGGAAATAATAATACCTCGCAGATCTCGATACATTTCAGTTTCGGTTGCACGACGTTATTTTAGGTGATAACTTTAGTTTCTCAGGTTTGGTAGATTTCGTTTACGATCGGTGATAGTGCCCAAAGAGCATTGGCTTTGGGTGAAATTTCAAAGTTCTCGTTATCCTCGGCTGGTACCACAATATTTGTGAGAATCTTTCTTTTCCGCATTTGCTGGAATCGACAGATTGTGCTTGAGTTGGCCTACAGTGGTTGGCGTTCTTCAATCGAAGGAAGGGGTATGCTCCTTATCCTGGGCACTATTCTGGGTTTAGGTGTGCATAAAGTCCAGTTGATAATATATCGTAAACGTCGGGGGGAGATATTAGTTACATCATCACCCGTAAATGGAAGATGAATCGTGACTTATAACCTGGGCACTAACACAAAGGTGAACGTTTCCATTTTCAGTTTACAAGTAAAGTCAGGAGTGCACTTTATTCATCCAATGTGAATAGAATTATCAGTGAAAAGAATGTTATCGCTTTTGCTTTGGCATTCGCGCTATTAAAATATGAGCTTAAAAATATGACAACTAATTACTGAGATGCTAATGAATAGGACACCGAGAACGCGTGAAAAAATAAAGAAAATTTCAACGTGGAAATTAACATTAGACTGTGTATAAGTTCGTTTGATATTCGCTCCCTAAAAACCAAAAAACGTGAAAAGTAAGGTACAACGGAGTTGTGAAAAGCAGTGGTACGAGTATATAAATATTTAAATTTATTGCGGGTGACAGAAGTTGAAATGAAGCTAGATAGGGCTGTGTAAGGGATGTGACGCATCGGACAAGATGGAGTCACAGACGGTCACACGCACTCAGGTGTTGGTGGACAATGGAATCAACCAGCTCCTCATAAGATACAGCTCCATATCTTGAGATGCTTTTTAGAGAGTGACTCACTAATATGAAATCCTTAGACATTAAAATGGGAAAGATAACGGGAGAGCAGTAGGTCCAATGGCATAAAACACATGAGAAAATAAGTTTGGAGATGATATACAATGGCACTCTCAGGTGTCAAAGGCGTGAAATATAAAAGGTCAACTTTCTGACTGTAAGAAATGCTTTTTCTACGTGCATGCCAACGAATTCCTCGGGATAAAAACTTCCCAAACATGTGTTCTGCAACAAGAAATATGCATGTACTGACCTGTCGGCATTGCTGTACGATAAATCGATCTTGATATGCTTCCGTCTGGCCTTCGAATAATGTTTATGTCAAGGAAACCCAGGCTATTGTTCATCTTCCATACTAAGTCGTATGTTCAAATGCAGTCGAGCTAGACCTGTGAGAATGCTCTGAGTTTGTTTTAGATTAACCGTGTTACGAAAATATAATTGACATATCTTCTGTATAACAGGGCTTGTTTCAGCAAATTCTGAGCTCAAGATTCCAAATGCTCCATGAATAAATTAACTGTAGTAGATTATTTGGGTTCAGTACAATGGTGCTGGCCCGAAATGATTTCCCACGTCCACGCCATCAAAGCATCTGTAAATCTCTCGTTGGAAGGTAAATGAAACATCCGTAGTACACTGTAGGAAAAGCCTCTCCAAATCGAAGGCAGACGAACTAGGTTTGAGTTGTTCTGTTTCAATGTGATCACAAATTATTCAAATACTTCCAGGAATAGGGACAGTGGTGAATAAAGATTGCACTTCCGGAGGAACTATGAGTCTATTTCAAATGTTCAGTGGTCAAATTATTTTAAGATGCCAAACGTATCTTTCACGGTATACTTAATTATAGAGTATCACTGGGAGTATAACATTGACAAGCCACTTTGTCGATATGGGTACGGTGACACTTACATAGACACAACAGAAAGGTAAACCGACGAACGTGTTCAGCACCTTTGCCTTCTTGATCCTCCCCAGTACCGTTTGTTTATGATTTAATCTATTCCAAACCACCATGCAAAGGTTGTATTTATGATGAGTAGTACCCGAATGACTGAACAAAACTGCCTTGAAGCACAGTTAATTTTGACCGGGTTGTTCATATACTACTCAAAATAAAAAAACTTAAAATCGACCCTGGCTAAGATCAGACGCATCTAACCCCCAACATCTGATACAGAATCATCGCAATGCTTTGTCGATACTTTTTCCTCTCAGATCCAATCCCTTGAACTGCAAATGAAATCTGAGTTTCATAAACATTGTTTTTCTCCAGTATGCAGTAGTTGAGATGCAGCTAATTCGTCAGGACATAAATTGTGCAATGAATAGTGATAAATAGACCCATTACAAAGAGAAATAAGTTTACTATGAATTATTTGATATTCTTTATTTCAAATGTAACAAAACTCAGCACACAAACAATTATTTTTGAACTACCTATTGGGGGGGGGGCGTCTAACAAACGAAGTCCCTCTTTACTTAATTTCGTGTTGTTTGGATACTCGATGTTGAGTAAATCCTACTTGACTTTTTATTGATAGCCAAGACTTGTACGCTTCAGTATCATTTGACATCCTTCCTTACTGCTGTCACAACCTCTGTATCTTTTACTTTGGTTTCACTGCAGGATTTTATGTTCTTTGAATATCGTCATACAGCAGTCGACGTCAATCCTTCCCGCGGCTTGCACAGTTCCCTGTGAAATTCCTAGAAATACGCATGATAACGAACACTGCTCCGCTGACAACTCGTTACCAAAACATTATACTCAGGAATCTACTTTGATTTTTACCATGAGCTGTAAAATTCAATGGATATAGCTACATAAGCTACAGAGGAGTTTTTGTTCCTCACACATATCCTCCTTCATTTGATGGTTGGACTAACGGATACCACCCAAGTTACTAACTTTTTTGAGTGGCACTTTGGGTTCTTTCCCGACTTATCCGTTCTTCCCGATACCTGGGTCTCCATGTATGTTCTCTCGCAAGAATGTGTTTTTATTCGTTGCAACACGATGTTCTTTGACCTTTTATCCACCTGATTATATGCGTCGTTTTTTATTCCCGTGTCAAAACTATCTACTTCACTGTGTTGAATCACGTTTCAAATTGATCTTGGTCTTACTCAAATTCTTATAACCATCATCGCTTAGAGTTTCCAAGTGAGGTAAATCAAGTTTATGCTCAATGGTGTCGAGTCATGCTCGCTTCGCAAATTTAGTCCCTTTGTACCGAATTGCGAGCTTCGGTAAAGGACCCACAGGAACCAATGTATACTTAAGACCTATTTTTTACAGATGGTTACCAGAAAAACGATGAAAAAAGGACGGAGAGATTTACATTGACTTTTTGGAGTGTAAGACAAAATGGAAAAAGCAGGATGAGATGATGCCGAAAGGAGGGAAAGGAGTGAAACATAAACGACACTAACTCCTGCCCAGAAGCTGATTCGAGATAGTAGAATAATCTGGGGTAAAAATTTACTTCATGCGTGAATCAATTAGTTCTCGGTGAAAATGATTCCAAAGATGAGTAAATATGTGCATAAATAACCATTTAAAGATTTACTAAGGCGAGTGATGATTGAAACCCTTCACGTAGATTGTCTATTCCTGAACTCAAGACCTGAGATGGTATAGTAAAATCATGTCTCCCCTGGTTCTACAAGTTTCAAGTGAGCGCAAATTGAAAACGAAAAACCAAGTGGGATACCCAAACGTTGCCGGTCAATAAGAACTCAAGAAACCGAATAAATATCTAGGTTACGGGTTACAGAAGTGTGACGAAAATATTATAAAGTTTTGGAAAGTTAACGTGAATGGAAAGGCCATATCCACGCGATTGAGTTAGCCAAACCATGCAGACTACAGATGTATGGTCTACCGGGGACGAACAGCGC